ATGCATAAAAGCAGAAATAGCTATTTGGGAGAAGAATGCATTAGGTCCATGTAATTATAGGAAATTATAGTTGTAATTTTTCTTGCAGTCATTTTCGGCAAAAGTTTAACTCTTCACACCCTAACATCAGTATGCATATTCTTCATACCGTTCTTTACAGATTTCCTAAGCTGCTGAAAAGGAGAATCTAATTAAAAATCAAGAACCTTTTTAGCCAGTGATCATTCACTTTATTCTTGTGGATGTGTGATTCTTTCTCCTGTCCTGGAATGCAGTTTCTCCAAACCACCAGTACTTATTGTACATATAATCATGTTTGATTGAAAATAACTTTTTTACAAATCAAATTTGCACAATAAATGTACCTAAAGTTTGGCAATACTAGATCATCTACCATAGTGCCCCTCTCTGAAGCTCCTATCGTGACATCATAACCATCTTTGTATGGACTCTGTGTAAACACTGCTCCAAAAGATGGTGCCAGTCTCACAGTATATCCCCAGTACAGGCCTTGCTCTGTTCTGGGGGCACTGGGAGACACCACTGTTCCAGTATAAAACTTTGTGCCTGTTAAATTTTTAGCAGAAAAATAAACACAGACAAAATTTCACCCTTGTTTAGTGTACTTGCTCATTTTTGAATTTTTTATTCAAATACCAAACACAACATTTATGGGAAGAGTACCTCCTACACATGTTTCCATGCAGTGTTACTTTAATTCAGATCTGGCTTATTTGCCATGTGATTGAGATGACTGCAAAGAACAAAGTAAGGGTGCATGTGTATTTTTCATAGATGGTTCTAGCTTACATGTCATCTGAATGGTCTGTTCAGCTCTTTAGAGAATCAATCAAATTAAATGTTTATTTTTTTAGAAAAAAAGTTGAAGATGAGATGGTCCAATGGTTAGCTCCCTGGGCCCAGCTGTTCACTTAGTGCACTAGCTCAAGATTAAATTTAAACTTGGGCTTGTTTATTTCTTTGTTCAAATGCCTTTTTGGGACTATTTTTTGTGTTCTTTTTAGAGCATCAAATAATCAAATTACAGATGAAGAGAATTGGACTGAATTTTCTTTTGAAGCTTTCAAATCTGAAACCAGAATTCACACTAACCCTGGGTTATCTTAACCCAGCTTTGAACAACCCAGCCCTGAAC